CCTTTGTCACCGGTTCTGTTCATTATTTTCATGGACAGAATTTCTAGGCGCAGCCAGGTGTCGGGTGGGGTCCAGTTCGGTAGCCACCGGATTTCATCTCTGCTTTTTGCAGATGATGTGGTGTTGTTGGCTTCTTCGAACCAGGACCTGCAGCATGCACTGGGGCGGTTTGCAGTAGAGTGTAACGCAGCTGGGATGAAAATTAGCACCTCTAAGTCCGAGGCCATGGTTCTCGACCGGAAAAAGGTGGTATGCACCCTTCGGGTCGGGGATGAAGTCCTGCCTCAGGTGGAGGAGTTCAAATATCTGGGGGTCTTGTTCACGAGTGAGGGTAGAATCGAGCGTGAGATTGACAGGCGGATCGGTGCTGCGGCCGCAGTAATGCGGTCGCTGTATCGGTCCGTTGTGGTGAAGAAGGAGCTGAGCCGAAAAGCGAAGCTCTCAATTTACCGGTCAATCTACGTTCCTACCCTCACCTATGGTCATGAGTTGTGGGTCATGACCGAAAGAACGAGATCAAGGATTCAAGCGGCTGAAATGAGCTTTCTCCGCAGGGTGGCAGAGCGCTCCCTTAGAGATCTCTGTCACCCAAGAGGAACTCGGAGTAGAGCCGCTGCTCCTCCACATCGAGAGGAGTCAGCTGAGGTGGCTTGGGCATTTACATCGCATACCCCCCGGACGCCTCCCTCGGGAGGTGCTCGGGTGCCGTCCCTCTGGGAAGAGACCTAGGACACGCTGAAGCGACTACGACGGTCGGCTGGCCTGGGAACGCCTTGGGGTCCCCCCAGAAGAGCTGGAGGAAGTGTCGAGGGAGAGGGAAGTCTGGGTGTCCCTGCTCAGACTGTTGCCCCCGCGACCCGGCCCCGGATAAGCGGTTGAAGATGGATGGATGGATGGATGGACAGTGGAACTTCTAGATACGAGTTTAATTCATTCCACAACTCGTATATCGATCCACTGGTATCTCACTTGCATTTTCCCCATTAAAATGATCTCAAAACCAATTAATTTGTTCCAGCCCCCCAGAAATATACTATTAATTAATTCAATTTCCCCCCTCATCTGAACATCAAAAACATAGATATAAACACATATATTGATAATATAAAACAATAATTTTGAGCGACACAGCGCGACAGTGTCGATCCACTAAGCATAGGAGAAGGCCTGGGAGTGAGGACTCAATTGAGATGATAGAAAAAGAAAGAAATTATATATATATATATATATATATATATATATATATATATATAAAACATTATACAGGATAACAATACCAATTTACATTTTTCCACAGTTTCAAGTGATCTATCGATCTATAATTGTAATTACATTTTGACCAGATTTTTGCCGTGAACATTTTGCAAAATAGTGGCACAATTCCTGTCATTTAATTGGCTAGTTGACCGGAATATCTTATAGATGGATAGATTTTATCTGAAAGAGCAGCAGCCTGTTATAAAGTTGTATTCTGTTTATTCTAAGCGTGAAGAAAAATAATAATGTTTCATTGGTTCATTCTGCCAATTTATTGATTGATGCTTTCAGAATATCAGTTTTTGTACAGTCTGCATGTTCAAATGCATGAAAGTGCATGCACACAGACATAAAAGTCCCCACTCAGGGTCAGGTTCCACTTTAAATACTAAACCCCAAAGTCAATTTAACTTTTAAAGAGAATCTTTTTCCTAGAATAGTTCATTTCAAAAGAACACTCAGACTTTTTAAGCACATCAGAGTCATCCACATATGAGACAGGCGGTTCCTGGTTTTCCCTGTATGCCTAGGCTTTGCAGCTCGGTGATAAGACCTTTGATGAACGCTTCCTTCAGTTGGCTTTTGGTCATCAGGCAGTCTTGATTTTCGGGAAAATATGCCGAAGTTCTTCCCGATATCTGCAGTGCTGATTCTACAAACGAACATGATATAGGGTTCCATTATAAAGGAAACATGGATACTGTGTCACCAGGTTTGAGATTTGGAGTTAGTAAGTTTTCTGGGTCGAAGGCAAAAGTTAATTCTTTAAATACAACTTTAGCAGGAAGTTCGATTCCGACCTTGGCAAACGGCCAGCTTGTTCCCTCCTATGTACTGGGTGTTCCATCTGTTGTGCGTCTGCTCACTGCATTCATTGAACAAAAGACTTCTCCTCAAGAACGTAAAATCAAACCCCTAGAGTGCAAGAGAAAATACAAGGGTCAGTAGAATTCACAGAATTCTCAAACATATGCCATAATGCTAAAAAGACAAATTAAGACAAATCTCGAAGGTGGCTCAAACATCAGTAAATTTGTCACTGGGGATGTCCGATATTTTTACACTTATTTTCCGATCAACCGATACCGATATAGGCCTGGTAATATTAAGTAATATACAGTATATCGTAATATATCTGTACAAACCACTGTATGAGTAGGAGATTAATTAAATTAGGTGCAGTGCTGCCATCTAGTGATTTTCACTTTAATATACAGCCGTTTATCCCTAAAAGCTATTTTTAGGGCATACATCATTTGGCCAAACCAAGACATTGCATTACGGGGTTTTCATTATCTAAGGAAAAAAAAAAAAAAAAAAACGATTCTTACAGAAATTACACAATATGCTAATATCGAGCCGATACTACTGGTCGGCAGTTACGTTGTATTTCATCAGGTTTTTTAAACCTCAAAAAAGAGATACTACTGGTCGGCAGTTACGTTGTAAGAGATGAGGGACATTTTAAGAGAATTCAGAGAAAACATCACATTTTATTTGTGAATAGTATTTTTTAATAACAATAAGAAAACACTGAAGGATATTTTGAGGACTGCTTCGTTATTGTATTAAGTTAAATTATACAAGGAATACAGTAAAAATAAAAATAAAGTGTATGGTACTCACATGATTGCACATGGGTTTGCAGAAGTACCTTTTACCCACTGTGACACAGCCCAATCCTCCATTTTCAGGCACTTCAGGTGTTGGGCACAATGGTGGTTTTTCAATATGGCATTCTACATGTGAACAAATAATAAGCAATAATATAAAAATAAATACAATTTTCACAGATTCAATGAAATGATTTGTTTCTATGAGCAGAAGCGCAACTTTTATCTCTTTATTTTCTTGTTTTTTTGTCTTTCTGTTGCAAGATAACACACCACTCTTATTAAAAATAAATGCTACTATGGGGTAATAATGCATCTCATTAAATATATATCTACGCGTAAATACCCAAAATAGAAATGAAGCTAATGTGTTTAGCTGGTTTAGCTCAGCCTAGCCTCAGCAGAAAACTAATGCTGATGCTGTCAAGCGCTAACACATTGCTAAGATGCCACTAATGAATTTCGTTGCGTTGTAGCGCTTAAACACCGCTAACACGCTAGATGCTAGCTCAAAGATAGTGTGATTTGTCTTGAAGGGTGTTCATTGGTCAGACTCGGAGTCGACCAGCCTAAATGTTTTGACTTATTTTGTGTAAATAAGCACAGTACCATTAGGACTAAACAACACTGTATGCCTCACCTTTCAGAAGAAAGAACTTCAGGCTAACCTACAGTAATGGTAGGTTATGGTAATGATAATGGTAATGATATGGTGGAAGACAAGATGGATTTTGGTCAGCTGTGGCTGGCCCATACAGGGAGCTCGATTGCTGACCCTGTTTGTATTTTGTATTTTTTTATAACCATTTTTAAAATAAACCATGAGTATTTATTTTGAGTAAAAGTGTGTTTAACCCGCACCATTACCCATCGTATATAAAATATAAAAAAAGAAAATATCTTTTGTCTCATCTCGCTCTACTAACGTCTTTGGAGCTTCTGGGTATTAGGGCGCTAGAAAAAGCAGTGCAGCCCGATCGCTGACCTGTTGCTGACGAGACATGTTCGCATAGCAACAGAAATGATCCAGTCAGCACTGTCGAATCTGGTGGCTTAAGGGTGATTCATTTGACAAATAATTAAAAAAAAAAAAGTTGTGAGGTCTGCCTGTTTCCTGTTCCTGCTGTCTGCTGTGTGGGGTAATCAGTGTCATCACACTCACCTGTGTCTCTGTCATTTGTCTCACCCGTGTCACCTGGTGCCCTGGGTATCTAAACCTCTCTCCCTCACTCCGTCCTTGTGCGATCATTGTACTGTTCAGTTTGTGTTCTGTGGTCATGCCTGGAAGTCTTTGTTCCTGCATCCTTGTGATTTTTGTGATTTTTGCACCTTGGATATAAGAGCCCTACACCTGAAGAGTCTGTCATTGATGTCTCGTAACATACAGTAAGTACTAACACACTGTTTGTACACAGCTGCGTACCTCCGCCACAAGGGGGCACTGGTATAACAGTTAACAGCATTGTGTAAAAAATATTTAAATATAATAGTTTGTTTACATGTTCTGTTTCAAATGCAAAACTTTGGTTTGCGCAATGTCCTGTTTACGTGTACGAATGCCTCAACTTTTTTTTTAACACTTTCATTACCCACCTTTCTGCCTGTCGTTCAGGAGCTCTGTCACGTTTCTTAGCGTCAGCAGCAGTGTCGCAGCCTGCTGTGGACTCCAGTCGCACTCTGCTACCCTCTGTTGGTAAATAATGTTAATAAAATTTAGTTGTTTTTTTTAAAAAACTACATTTTAAAGAAGAAGTAAACACAGAAGTGCAAAGTGGATGTTTTTAGATAAGCAGTGAGTGTTCACTGCACTGTATGTGCGCAGTAGCTGTGACAAACATTAATTTACCTTGAGGTCTGACGATACACGCTCAATGAACTGACTTTTGACGTCAGAGCTGCAGTTTTGGTTCGAGTTGACGGGACTCTCATTTTCAGCTGCACACAAGGTTACGGCTGTAATACAAACACCCATGCTCACACACAAAAAAACGTGAACACCGGACCGTTTAACTAACTAAACAAACAATATTCAAGTTTACTCTGTCTGTCGATTTTTGTATCGCCCATTACGAAGATAGAACTTTCCCTTAACTTTTGCATAGTTAAGGTAAAATTCTTTCAGTAATTCTTATAGTGTCTATAATTCACACACTGTGTCTTGCTGTTTATTCAATAACAAGGATGTAACGATACACTCAACTCACGATACGATATAACTCACGATTATCTATATTTTTATGTTCAACATACACATTTTTAGACTAGGATCGGGACAACGTCTGTTTTGTCGGGAAACACATGACAACGTTAAACAACATACAGACATATCAAGATTTTCTAAACTTTGGTAAACACAAGTCTAACTAGACGTTCACAATAAAAGCCAAATCATGCCATAAAGCACAGCTTTGGAGTCAAACTGAATCCAGAAATTGCAATGGTAGGATTACCTGCAAATAGAGAGCACCAAATCCAAGTACATCTTAGAACCATGACAGCAGCAAAACTGAATTAGATTTCGCAAACTGACAACTGAGCAAAGTCCACACAAATGGCAAATATTGTTCTGTGTATTTCCCAATTTCCAGTATTTGAATGATTGTGTAACATGAAATGTAAAAAAAAAAAAAAAAGTGGATATAAGAGCTTTTTTTTAAAGTTTTGGGGGTACCTGGAATTCAAATGGGTTCCCCAGGAAGTACTGGTAATTTGTTTTTTGTTTTTTTACTCATTTCTCTTTTCTTTTATCGCTTGTTATTTTCTTAAATAATGATTTAAGAACACCACACACAATGTTAAACCACTGTACTTTCACTTTTATGAATCTAAATAGAGTCCACAAAAAAAAAACAAACATAAAAAACCATCTTGTGACTCCACAAGTGACAGCTATTAAAATGTCTCTATTAAAATGGTGTCACTAGCCACAAAATGTTGGGCACCACAGGGATAGAGAAACTCCTGAGAATTTTTTTTTTACACTTATCATGCTAAGATATCTAATATATTTAAGAGTTAAATCTTTTTGAACTGTAGTTCGCAGCTAACTTTGCCCACGAATAAACATAAAGAATAAGAATGCGAACATGGTTTTTGACCATTTCAGGTTAGACTTTTGTAATCAGGATTTTTTGTGTGTGTGTGTGTTCAAAACTGTAGAATTCAGGCAATAAAAATACACAAAAATGTGAAAAAAGTATTTATAAAAAAAACTGCTATAATAATAATATTAATAATAGTAATAAATAAAACAAACAAACATATAGTAATAATAATAAATGTGTTTTATGCATGAGGACCGTCGCTATAAACAACAACAACAATTAAACCCCTCTTTGGTGTCTGTTTTCGCTTTGTGCAGTTGGGGGAGCTAGCACAACACACACGCTCAAGGTGCTTTAATCAGTCTTCACATGCTTCTGAACGCACGAGGCCTCTGCTAGAGCTGGAGCTCATTGTGGGAACCGGTGTTGATAAGAAAACCCACACACATACACACAGAATGCTGAAACATTCATTATAGCACACAATATCAGACACACTGTGGGATGCAGTGTCAGTCAGTGAAGATGACGGTGTGAATAATTGACCGTGGATGTTATTCATTATAGATGCCTGACATTCTGGAAGGGAATGAATTATTGAAGGTTTTGGAATGAGTGATTGAACTTATTAACACTGGGAATTGGCCTCTTTGCTTTGGATTTGAGGAGAAAAACGATTAGTCCTGAAAATGGTCCTTAAGAGCCACCATCACTTACCTGACGATAGGTTAGCCAACATGCTGCACAGCTTGGATTTGACCACAGCTCTTCTGCAGTGTTTTACTATATGATAGTAATAACATTTTTGGCTTTTTTTTTTTTTTTTTGGCGATATCGATGTCAATACTTTCTCTCTTTTTTTTTTACCCCAAAAAAACACAACACATACTGCTAATTCAACAACTTAAATATGTATTTTCATATTATATTAGCCATAATAGATGACATTATTTTTTTTTATGTCACAATGTAACCGAAATTGTTTAACTGCTACTGTTAAGGATCACATGAAGTCAGTGATCTCTTCTGGTCAGTGGTCACATGACACATGAATAGATCAGTTCAATTTTACGTCACCAGAGGGTGTTGCAGCACAAAAGCAGTTATGGAGTAGGTTACCCTAAAACAGTGGTCCCCAAAGTGTGACCCCCCCCCCCCTTTCTTCATTAGAAATTTTCACGCCCTCCACCCAAAAAAATAAAAAATAAAAAAGGGCTTAAAAAAAGGTTTTTTTACACGCCTTTAACCAATCCATTTTATAGTCTATAGTTAAACACTTACAGCATTACACAATAAGCTAAGACCCATGCATTTTCTTTGTTATTTATGAATTAGTATTGATGTTTTATGAAAGTAATAATCGATACTCATGTGACTTTATATCAATGCCATGTAATTTGTACTCTCATCAGTACTGCGTTCACGCTGGAATTTGACTCTATCATAAACGCTATCACATTAAGATCAGATGGATGTATAACCTCACAGTACGCATGCGTCATATTGGTTTTGGTTATTGGCTTTTGCATGTATATATACCTTTTTTGGAATTATACGTAGATGAAGTGTAGCAATGGCTATCAACTGGTGGCACGCGAGCCCAATCGAGGGCGCAGGACCATCCAATCCGGTCTGCGACTGAGTCCCAAAACTGTGCTGATCAAAGAGAAAATACTGTGTGGTCCCCACAATTTATGACTCCGTTTACATTCTTTTTTTTTTTTTTTTTTGTCAAAAACCATTTCATTTGAATGTCCAGTCCCCAAGGTGTGTGTCCAAAAAAACTAGCCCTCTGACAAAAATAGTTGGTGACGCCTGTAGTGTAGCATAACAAGCTAAGCCATTTCATTATTTTGCAATTCCATTCCAAAGAATTTGCTTGGTGGTAATCAGGAAGCCTTGTACTATTTGCATATTCAAAATAAACAGTACAAACAAACAAGTAAACATGTGTGCTGTTAGGCAATCTGTTTTTCTCGGGGTAATTTTTGTCACAGCTTTTTACATGACTGCCTTCCTTTCTCTCTGCTCTGCTCTGCTCTCCTCTTAGTGTGACTGAGCCCCCCTGACTGTGCAAACTGCCTGAGATGAGAGGCTGTATTCACAGTCTAATGCTGAGAGTTCAGTGACGTAGGTTTAAATGATGCAAGTGAGAATCTGTTTATTCAGATCAAGAATAGATAATGGCTGCTTTTCCCATAGTCCTAATACTTGTGTGATTTATACAGTATACCTAGTATACTGGAGTATTTTAGACTCTGGTATATTGAAACTGGATTAATTAATATAACAATAATAATAATAATAATAATAATAATCACATCTCTGGGATGCATCACTGATGATGCATCCCAGAGATGTGTTTAAATTCCTGGTATAAAAAAGTGTGTAAGGACAGGAAAAATGAAGGACATAGATGGCACCTGGGTTCTCAAACTTTTTTTTTTGAAAATATGAATGATTTTTATTTGTAATATTTTTGTAGTCATTTGAATCAAATCCTTATTCATTTTTCAGTTATTTGTTAGTTATTTAAATTACTTTTTACGTCAGAAAATTCACTCATTCGCTAATGCTCTGTTTCATATTTTAAAAAATGAATTACAATTAAGAACAGGGTTCAAGAGACCTTTCATGATGTGTAAATTTTAGATCAACCTTAATGTAGATGCAGTAGCTACTGTAAAGTGGGTGTCATCAGCGAGCCATAGGAAACCCACGAGTTCGGTGAAGCACACCGAGGTTCTCGCTGTTATTTATTCATCGGCATAATGTATTCAAATGTAACGGCAACACTGAGGTTGATCATGTGTGTCCTTGTTTCTGTAGGTTTTATCATGTGAGCTCATTATCTTTTCTCACATGAACAAAGTTGTCATGGTTAACTCATTTATGTACACGTGACCTCATTTTATTGTTACAAAAGAGGTCATGCGAATACATAGTCACTTAAGTAATTACTTTCAGCTTAGTGCGGGCCACCCCACAGGTAGTCTTTAGTGATGTGGGTTTTTTTTTCTTACTGCCCATTTAAAAATATCAAGCAATAAAATTGTTCCAAAAATGCCATGTCATTAGATGCGGCTGGGCGACTTCAGAAATCATAGCATTTGCATTTTTTATATTTCTCCACTATTTATCTTTATATAGTTTCTCAGACAACCATCTGAGAAAACATCAAATGATTGAGGCATAAATTTCCTGTGGGCTGAGCAGAGTGAAAATGCGGATGGCTGTCTCCACCACCGTTATACATTAACGTGAACAGTGTTTCTCTTTTCCTGATCTTAGGGTAGCTTTTAAAAGTGATGTGATAAAAAAAAAAAGATGACGGGTAAAAGTTACTCATCCTCCCTTTTGCATGAGAGACTTTGGAGATATTATAACTGATTAGGACGTGTGGAAGAACGGTCTCTTTAGCTGGCATTGCTGCCAGTGTGCTGGCTCTGCTTTAAAATGTAGGATCTTAAGTAGGTCCTCCATCTCCACACGGACACTTTTATGGGCCGCAGTAGCTTTATTTAAATAGTGTTCATTTACAGATGCATAAAAAGAGAAATTAATCCCATAACTCACACTTGCACAGGCGCATACACCCGGTTTCATATTGATTTGGAACTGCACGTGCTTTCGTGCCATGCACCTTTCAGACAACTGTCGTTGTGCAGTTATTTTAAGGTATGTATATGGATACATATATACATATATAGATGTATATGTATATATACTGTATATATATTATTTTTTTATAAATGTGCTATATAAATAAATACATATAGATTCAGAAACATATATTTATCAATACATTTATATATTTATTATATTTATATATTTTTATGTATATATCAACATATGTTGCAACCTCTTATATAGTATACTATATATATGTGTGTATATATATATATATATATATATATATATATATATATGCACAGTATTTTTTGGACCAAAAATCGCACATTTTTTCAGCCTTTGACCAGGTTTGTGACTCATACTCAGGTGTGAATTATATATTAAAATATATAATTACACATGTTGGTTATTTTCATACTGACCGCCGCTAGAGGGCACTCTAGGCTTGTGTGCCAGTATCTGCTACTCCTGTACTACTGAAAATGTACATGTTTGTTTTTTTAACACTGACCGCCGCTAGAGGGCACCCTAGGCTTATGTACCAGTTTTTGCTACTCCTGTAAGTTGCACTTTTTTTTTCTCATCCTTTGGCTCGTGCAACTTTTAATGCTGAGCGACTAATGGTCTAGAAAATACAACAGTTTATCCTAAATTTCCGATTTGCTTTTGAGAACACAAGCACATCGACGTGGGCCGAATGATGCCTCATCCTGCATGTCTTGACATGCCTCCCGCTGGGATGATGTGCAAGCAGTGATTGGGTCCGGTCACAATATATATTCCACAATTGCGATCTGGTAGAATATTTATGTGTATATATATATATATATATATATATATATATATATCATTATCAGACAAGTTACCATTTTTGGTATTTTCCGCACGTTATGTATCATGTTCATGCTCTGTCTCAGTGGATTTAAAA